GACCCTGCGCCTCCTCCCCATGACACCTTCCACCTGCACCACCCCGGCCCGATTCCGCTGCGGTGGTTTGATTTCCAGGCACATTCGGTGTAAACGAACCCGCGTGGGTCAGGAACCCCGAACTTTCACGGGTTCCCTAGCCTTCAGGCACCTGCCTTGTTTAGTCTCTAGCCAACTTCACCGGCAGAGCCTAGGAAGGGCCAGGGGTGTGTGTTTGTGTGTGTGTTGGGTAGGGGGGTAGCTGCCCCGCACGGGACCGCGAAAGTTCTTGCTTATTGGCCGAGACCAACAGCCCTTCCCCGCCTGCGCAGTGGTTTACGTCCAGGAGCGCTGACTCTTCGTGGGTATTTTGAATGGGCACTTCAATGTTCCCGGGAAGAGATGCTGCTTCCAGTCTCGAGCACGCACCCCCACCCGCAAACCCCGGGAAGTGGCAGCTCGGCTGCAACTGCCGCCGCTTTGGCCAGGGAGGGGGGCAGAGCGGCCTTTTCCACCAGTGCTGGGTGTTTGCGGAGCTCCTGGACCTGGGGCGCCCCTCCTTTTACAGATAGACGCCCTGTGCCCTAACCCCTCTTCCTGGCGAGGCGCATCCCATATTCTTTTTATGGGGCCCAAATGTGGGAGGTAAGGAAGAGAATAGGGCTCCATCAGTCAGACGGGAGGCTGTTAAGACAAGCACTAGCTCTCAGCAACCTCTCTCCCTGTCCCAAAAGAACCGTCCCCGCCCTCGGGCCCCCCACCCCCAGTGTCCAGCCAGCCGCCCCCTCCCCTTTTCTCGCCCCTAGAGCAGAATTGTGAAGGCGAAGCCCAAACAAACCTCCCACCCTGCCAGGCACTGGGGATGGATGTGCGGGGGCACTCGCGACGGGATCGCTCCCCAGCGGAAAAGCTGTCACCGACACGCCGGGGGAAAGGGGCGGGGGCGGGGTGAGGCGGCCGCGGTTCCACAGCAGGTTGCCCAGAAACCAGCTCTGGTGGGGAGGGCAGAAGGAAGTAGAGGGGATACTGGAGTAGGTGCTGGAGAAGGGGTGACGCGGAGAAAAGCACCCAGAAGTTCCAGGACTGGGTCCGATGTAGGGGGGTGTTGTCAAGGGAGTGGTTTCCCCCTCCCATTTATACTTTAAAATGACAACTGCCCTCCCCGGTCGCGCGGGCACTGCCGGACTCGGGCGGTTTCTGGTGCCCCCTGGTGCTGAGCACCCAGAAGCGCCTGGGCGCACGCTGCAGCTTCCACGGGCTCGCCTTTTCACGCCTACCTGGGCGTCCAAGCCGCCGGGGGGACAGGATCCAGGTGACCCCCGCCTGCAGAGCGTCCGCTGGGGCGCGCTGGCCCCAGGCACGGAGCAGTGCCTGAGCGTCAGGCACTAGAAAGGGTGCGGGGACACCTGGCAGGTGGACTTGGGGGAGTCCAGCTCGAGTCCTGCAGGACAGCGCGTTGAGCCATTCGCGTGCGCGCTGCAAAAGTGGCAGAGAAGGGACTCGTGGGCCAGCATGCTTTTGGAGAATGATCGCCACATTGGGAGGCCTGGGGTGTACGAGGTTGAGAAGTGAGTCCCCCTCGTAGTCTTCACGCCCACTCGAACGGCCCAGTCGCCCGGACTGGAAGCTGCCGGGCGGCGTTCAGCGGGGAGAACGCGCTGTCCCTGTCCCCGGGGTGTGGAGCCTCCTTCGGGCCGGGCCGCCACTGACCTCGGGCGGGAACGGAAGCTACCAGCCCCCTCTGGCCAGGCCAGGCGTTCCCGCTATTCCCTCCCTGGCCAGCTTCGCCACACTTAATTGAGGATCTCCACGTTCAATTTAAAAAGCCCAAAGTCGGCCAAACAGGAAAAAAGGGGGAAACTCTGAACACGGAGGGAAAATCGAGTGCCTCTGTCGCTTCCTGCTGGCGGGCACCGCGATTTAGAATGGCGCATTAACCCAGCGCCTCCCTGATCCTAGGGGCCGCCAACCATTTCCCACGCACCCCGGGAACTGGCACCGAAGGAGCCGGAGGCTTCTCGTTCCCCAGCGCCCTCTGCCAAGGCGCCTCGCCGCGCTCATTTGCATTTTGCCTCGCCGGCGTGCCGTTTTGCCCAGGCCAAGGCGCCGAGCCCAAGAGCCGCTGCTTTTTCCGGAGTTTGCAAACCAGCCGGTGCGGCTAAAGGCCGCCCGCCGGGGTGTTCGGTCCCCTGCAGTTCCTGGTCCCAGCAGACTTCCCGAGCCCAACAGCTGCATAGCCGGCAAAAGCCCAAGGGATGGAAAACGCATTCTTATCTGCGCTGGGAGGTGACTTCCTCATTAAACTCTTCCCGGGGTGGCTGGTACAGGCACCCAAGTTGGCGGGGGGTGGGGGGCAAGTAGTGAGATGGGAGCGCGCCCAAGCGCCCAGTGGGCCGACAGGGGAGGAGAGCTGAACTGCAGGAGGGCTGCCCTAGCCTTGCCCAGGAGCAGGTTGTCCTTTTCCTCGCAGGGGCCAAGATTTCTGGAGCTTTCTCATGCCGTGGCCCCGGGAATGCCCCGAGGAGCTATGTACCCCGACTGGGCGGGCCGCTGCTGTGTCTAGTCCCCGGGCGGTGCGTTCTGGGGCCACGGGGGTTCTTACACAGACGCTGCCTTTACCGGGAAGGTGGCTTCCCACTGAGCTTGTTACAGTCTGTTCCCTGGGGAAAGGCAGGCAAAGGTGCTGAGAACCTAAAACTTCAGGGATCAGCTCCTCCGGGCGGGCGGGGTCTTGCAAAACTGCACCCCTCGCCTTTCCCTAGCTGAGGCTGTGGGCGCTTCCCTAGAACCCTCCAACCCCAGCTAACGCACCTGGTGGAGGTGAATTGGGTCCTAAGGGCTCTCTTGGCAGTGGCCTGGCACTCAGGTTTCCTCTTGGACCTGGTTCGTAGTCCTTTTCAAAGTCCCTGCTAGGCCATGGGCGTCGTGATGATTTTCTTTCCCCC